ATATCTGCATTGGAAAATATTCAACTTTTACGGAAAGGAAACTGCAAGAAATTTGTATGAACACCAACCATACCTGGTTACGGAGATAGAACCTGTAACAATTTTATGAGGTTTGAATACACACAGACAGAACAAGGAAAGCTAATCGCCCAGATATGGTGATTAGAGACCGCGAAGACAAAAAATGCCACTTTATTGACGTGGCAGTCCCTGCAGACTGTAATGTATCTTTGAAGATCTTCAATAAACTATCAAAGTACAAGGAACTTGAAATTGAAATCTCAAAGATGTAGCACATGCGGACATCAATAATTACAGTTGTAGTTGGAGCCCTCAGATTGATTGGGAATGATTCCAATAGGCTCATTGAAAGGATTTCTGGTAGCACATGCCTTAAAAAATATAAAAATTGTACTCTCAAGTACAGCTCAAGCACATTACAATGAGCTTTATCTATGACAAATATGTTTGATCATAGGTTTTGTTCTTTTACAAAAATAATCAGTGGAAAATGTCATGAAGACATTTCTGACAACAGAAATACAAAGGAAATAATAATAATAATAATAATAATATCTATGAACATGTTTCTAACCTACATATATATATTCTACTTCATAGAAATCAAGTAATATATATATATATATATATATATATATATATATATATATATATATATATATATATATATATATGTATGTATGTATATATATATATATATATATATATATGTATGTATGTATTTATACAAATGTAATGAGAACGAAAATAAATACAAATTCTAAAAAGAGGGATCAATACCACTAATAGGGTAATAATTATTTATTATAACGTATAGACAAAAACAATTTACTCACTACAAAGATGCAGTTGTTGATGACCATTTTGGTTCTCACCTGTCGAAGTACAATTTTAAATGCACTGAAACGAAGTTGCATCTTTGTAGTGAGTAAATGAAAAAATAATAATATATATAGTTGGATTAGTGTGAGATTGTGACACTGGGTTTCACGCTGTTTGCGATCGTCAGGCAAATTCTCTGATGATCACAAATAGCGTGAAACCCAGGGTCAGAAACTCACACCAATCCAACTAAATATGTTATCTCTATCACTGACATTGAGCGCTTTCCAACAAGTACCGCGCATATTCAATATATAAATAATATATATAAAAAAATTCATATATATATATATATATATATATATATATATATATATCCTGTGGTGTATATATATATATATATGTGTGTGTGTGTGTGTGTGTGTGTGTGTAAACCTTTATATAATTATTTCAAAATTCATGTGTGAATATGGGAGTGTTTATAGGTTCTCATATAACGGCGACAAACAAAGTTTTAGGGGCCCAGTCTTTGCATAAATGACCACAAAACTTCAAATAATATCGTAGACTGTGTTACCTTCAGCTCAGTTTCTTGGACTTCTTCAGCAGTACAAAACAACTTGCTGCATTCAGCTTTCGAATCATTGAATTTATAAACCTTTCAACTGTTTCGACTTACACAAATTTGAATTGCCTCCTACAGATGCCCGTTGGTTAAATATTATTTGCTGTGCTCATATATATCTCGTTTAAGAATGGGCCACAAATATTCTTTTTGATTAATATTTGAAATGATTGATGCGGTAGTGTTTTGTTAATTTGGTATCCTTGGAAACAGTTTATAGCAAGATAGCCAAAAGTTAGCTTTGCATAATACAAAGAAAAAATTCTCTTACATATTTTAATTTAAAAGTTTTTCTTTGTGACCTATATCGATAAAAAGTGATTTTCGAAGAATTTCTAATAATTTATTTCTTTACATTATCATCATCGACTTTAACTGTATAATATACAATTTCTCTTCCTACGATATTATTTTGAAACGTTTCTCTATTTATCAGGAGGCACGTTGGTAGCGGCACGGATTGAGTGATCAGAGAGCGCAGATTAAGGAATCGGAAAGCCGAGTGCGAATAACCTTGGGAAAGGTATGAATCCTCTTCCCCCCCCCTAAGAATTAACTATTGGTAAACAGCAGGACAGACCTAGTTCAAGAGCCTTGGACGGCAACTGGTCTACCGCAGAAAGAAATGGCAACCTACTGCGGGAAATAAATCCACCTTGTCAGTCATGTATCGAAAGATACATGATCGCCTAAGCGTATATCATGTATGGCACATAACTGACTGATTCTATTTATCCCCTGTTGCTGTTTACGTCCTGGGTAAGACGATAAACTACATCCAGCAGCAAGGCCTCTGATTTGAGCGTGGAACTAACTCTTAATTGCTGGTGTTCCCAGGTCCACCCTGACCCGGGGTGGTAGCACCTGTTAGAGTCCCAGCTATGGGTAAATAGTTAACTATTACCAGCAATACTTTTTCGAAAAATATTATTACCAGCAATACAATATTGAAGGAAAAATATTACCAGAAACAAATCTTTGACAAAACAAAATATTACCAACAATAAAAAAATGTTGTCGGTATTAAATAACCCATTGAGGTTGATATGCCGTAAAACAAAATAAACCAAACCAATCTAAACCAAAAAATACATATTCTATTCATACGAATCTATCCTAAAAATGTTGTCGGCATTAAATAACCCATTGAAGTTAATATACTGTAAAACAAAATAAACCAAACCAATCTAAACCAAACCAATCTAAACGAAAGAATACATATTCTATTCATACGAATCTATCCTAAAAATGTTGTCGGCATTAAATAACCCATTGAGTTTGATATGCCGTAAAACAAAATAAACCAAACCAAACCCTGTTGCTATTTAAGTTGTTTTGACAGATTTTTTTTGTATAACGGTTTCAAATTCTAATCCAGTTACCTGATCCGTCCAATGTAGCTCTACATTCATTACTAAAGATCATTTTTCAGATATCAGCCAATACTCGAAATATTATACGCCTGTTCTTTCAGTTTTCATTTGCAACAATTTCTTTAAGCATTTCTTTGTTTGTCAATACACTTTTCTTCCTTAAATGCTTTTTTAAAAAATTTTTCATAAATCTCTTTGTGACATTCTTAAACCGAGTTTTTTTTTCTTGTAAATATTCTAATCTTGCATTCGAATATTTGCAATTTTTTTATTATTCTGTTTAACTTTTATGTAATCTCCAGCATAATGTATTCATTACTAAATGACTGTAATATGATTGCCTATACATTCAGTAAACATGAACTTATTGGAAAAATATTCCAGCAACTTAGACATGTATAGAAAATGTATTTAGAAAGGTATGTTAATTTTAAAATGATATCATCATTAACATAACGCTTGCATGCGGGTATCTCCATACTAAATGTGTTCGTTGGTTATAAGTAACTAACGGACACTGTTAGTATGAAGGTACCTGGAAATATCTGCATCCTTTGTCAACAAAATCTTATCTATAATAATATTTCTAGACCAAAAAACCTTTTGAATGAGAAATGGGAAATTATGACCAGTTGCATACATACTAAAATGTCCCTTTTGAGTTCATATGAACCGGGATGAAAAGAAAGTATTTATATTTCATTTACCTCCCCCACCACCACAGATATCTTTCCAATACCCATACTCTTCTCCTTCTCCTACTCTCCTTCTACCCACGTAGTGCGCTTATTGATTTTTAAATAATATAGCGTTCATTAAGTTCTTTTAAATAAAGCGTTAGGAAATCAATTGAACGAAATTGCCTGATGATAACAAAATGTTGAAACCAAGGTAGAGGAATCGGCTGGTCTCTTAATTTCTAATACACACACACAAACACACACGCACACACACACACACACACATATATATATATATATATATATATGTGTGTGTGTGTGTGTGTGTGTGTAACTATAGTTTTAAGGTGTGCTATATTTATGGGATAAAGTGCTCAATATCAGAGATAGAGCGTATGTAAATATAAATATAAAGGTGAAAATTGAAGTCAACATTCAGAGGCGACGGGCTGTTTTATGCTAGGGGCAATCGTCAGGTTGTCGGATTGACTTGATATGCCTGACGATTGCGCCTAGCATGAAAACAGCCTGTCGCCTCTGAGTGTTGACTTCAATGTCCACTTTCATATATATATACACACACAGACATATATATATATATATATGAAAAATTTCTCAGAGTTAACTTGTAAAAATTTTATATATATATATATATATATATATATATATATTAAGATATATGCCAAATGTCAACCATTGGACAGAGAAATCTTTTCACATTTTGTCAACGATCTCACAATTTCCTCTGATCAAATCAACCATTTATGCGGAAACCTGCCCTCGATTATCAACACCACTTGTCCACCTTCTGTCTATTTGGTGACCAATTGTCCACTCTCATTCATCAGCGACATGACGTCACAACATGGTCGCAACATGTTTGTTCTGAGTAGTCGCATAAAGCCTGCGATCTTAGGGTCATGACAGAATCGCGTATTTCAATTAATCTGGAATTGGAGACAATCGACACTTATCAACCAACCCTCCCCACCTCCAATGTGTACAGGTGCCCGTGGAAAGAGAAATTCGTTTTAGAGTTAAAGTGGAAAGATTATGTGAAACGAAAATGTATTAGTTTTTTTTGACATCTGGAGAATATGTTTTACTGTGACAAGCTTTCCAAGTCCCAAGACAAACTTCTTTCTTTTTCCTCTGTGCCATTGTTTCGTTTTGTTTTTGTTGTTTGCTTTTCTTTGCGTGAGAGGTTTATTTTCGTTGTTGCTATTATTGTTGCTACCATTTTGTTGTTCTTTTTCTTTTTTCTTTCATTGTTCTGTTGATTGAAGGTTAAAACGTTATTCTTTTCGGGCTGATTGTCAAGAAGTGTGCGTCTGTAGTGACTCGCTTAACGACAATTTAAATGTTGTGACGACAGGGGTGACGTACTCTCCTTCGATAGTTACTGCTGGCGCCTTCTGCCACACCAACTTGTAGTTCCGACTCAGCTCTCTCGAGCCTAAGTTATTCACACCCACGTACCTGTGTCAAGGGGGGTGGCTTTGTGCCTTTGACTACACCAATCCGTTTCCCTTTCTCTCTACTCCCTTCATCCTTACCCATGAAATCGTTCCATGCCTCTCCGACTTTCCAGTCAATCTCACTCACCCTCAAATTTATCTCTGCCGCCACCAGCAAAAACAAGAACAACTACTAAAGCAAACATCAATCATCATCATCATCATCATCATCATCATCATCATCATCATCATCATCATCATCGTCGTCGTCGTCGTCGTCGTCGTCGTCAACAACAACAGCAACAACAACAACAACAATGCAATAATAATAATAACAACAACAACAATGTTATTAAACAGCAACGACATCACCATCATCATCGAATTCGCAATTAATATTATAATTATGATTTCAGTTACCATCATCAACATCATCGAATTCATTATTAATAGCATCATCATGATTTCAGTTATCAGCATCATGGTTGTCATAGAATTACTTATTATTATCATCATTATCAGTATAGTTATGTTTCCAGTTATCATCATACTCAAATTCATTAGTGTTATCATCATCATTATCATGACGATTTCAATTAGTATCATCATCGTCGTCATCATCTTCATCTTCTGCGTTATCATCATCATTGTAGCTAGTGTTTAACCTTTGACAGTAAGAAGTCAGATAAAATTAATTGTTGAGCTTAATTATTTTTAGAGATCTATTTAATTCTGCTATGACATACAATGGAATACGGACACGTTATCTAAACTTCAAGTGGGTTTTTGGTATATGCAATTAATTTCATTTTAACCTAACACTATACCTCCTTAACCAGGTGACAATAACAGCTTTTCAAAATGCTAACTTCTCTTAATATTATTATTATATATTTCTATTATTATTTTTCTTCGTCCCGACTTTAACCTCAGTATGAAGGACATCACCATAATCTTAATATTATTTATTTCAAAAGATAAGAAATATATTTTCATTTCTGTATTTCCATTTCGAATTAAATTTACACTTTTTCGCTTTTACCGCTTATTTATCTTCTATTTTATTTTTTCTGAATTTTTACTCACTATTTAGTGCATATGCACGGTGTGGCATTATACAAAGGCATAGTTGTATCTGTGGAAAGTAGTGCCAACATCATGGCACTAAAACTGCTTATCTATCAAAACATTTCATTTTTTACTCAATTCACGCAAATGAATACTGTCCGTGAACGAATATTTGAATTTGGGAAAAATAAAACATTTGGAAGAAAGAACATTAAAAAAACGGATATAAAGAAGTCAACGATAATAATTGACCTTATTAATAACACCCTACTAAAGTGTAAATTAAACCTTCTAGTTCAAAAATATATATTATGACCTCTAATATATAAAATATGGTACTTCTACATGAAAACTATTTTTATTTGCTATATTTTAATATAATTGTACCATTTAAACAAATTATGAAATTTACAAAGTTGTAGCAAAACAATTAGCGCAAAAACAAATTCGTTTAAAATAAGTAACCTTAGAATTATAAGAAAAAACACGCTTTAATTTTTCTTTATATTTCTGAGAAAAATTAAAATTTATTATATAATGGAATTAAAAAGAGTCTTTTAGGACATTATGATAGTAAAAAGTTATCTTTTAGCGTTTCCTATCAATAGGTTCGTCCACGACAAGACAACTAATTTTAATTTTTCATTGAGATATTATGAAAGTATTTTAATAATTTTTAAATTTTTCTTTGAGAAATCATAAATGTATTTTAATAATTTTTTAATTGAGAAATTATTAAAATATTTTAATATATTTTTTATTTATCTTTGAGAAGTCATGAATGCATTTTAATAAAATTTTAAATTTTTAATTGAGAAATTATGAAAGTATTTTAATTATCTTTTAAATTTTTCATTGAGCAATTATAATTTTAATAATCTTTAACATTTTTCATTAAGAAATTATGAAAGTATTTTAATAATCTTTTACATTTTTTATTGAGCTATTACGACAGTATTTTAATAATCTTTAAACTTTACATTGGGCACTTATGAAAGTATTCTAATGATCTTTTGAATTTTTCATTGAGGAATTATGAAAGTATTTTAGATTTTTTAATAATTTTGGCACTACAAAAAGTGACATTTTCATAAGTCATTGCATTTGTAAAACGAGAAGACAAATGGAAACAAAAAACCGTGAAAGGCTTTCAATGATGGAAATTTGTAAATTATGTCTTCTAAGATGACGTTTTCAGTTTCATTTTCCTCGGTATGAAACGTGACAAAAAACACGAAATTAAAAGACGAATGAGAATATTTCTGTCGGCATCAACTGTTGCCAGATGATGTTGTGTTTAATGCCTTTTTAATGAATATTACACTACAAATTATTTGTTTAGTGTTCAGTAGCCACGTGAAACACTCTATCCAGGTGAGTATTGTAATATGATTTTCTATTTTTTTTTTTATTTATTTATTTTATTAAACAGCTTCTGGAGTCATTTTAAATTAAACATTTTCCGAACAAAAAAAATAAATAATAAAAATAAAATAAACAAACAACTTAGCTAAGACCTTCAAGTAGCGTTCATGCCACGTGCCTTAATTGCCGAGTCTTAGATGCGTCGCTGCGCAGAGAGAACACGTTACGCACGTGGCTTTCGTTATATGCATACGCTTTATGCCAAGTTTGTTACGTTTAAACCAATCACATGCATAACACACCTGAACGTTTGCGTGTATTTATGCGTGTACAAGTGTATAGGTATTTGTCCGCGCGCCCACGTCAGAAACAGAATACAACAAGGTCGGAGTTTAATCTAGGATTTCCCGGCTCCCTTTGGTGACTACTCAGGCACTTGGTAATGAATTCAGTCGCGTTCCCAAAGGAAAGGTACGACTTTAGTTGGGTTGATATTAATTTCAGCTTTCCCGGCATAAGTGTGTATTAGATAGATAGATAGATAGATAGATAGATAGATAGATAGATAGATAGATAGATAGATATGAACAGAATGTAATAGATAGATAGATAGATAGATAGATAGATAGATAGATAGATATGAACAGAATGTAATAGATAGATAGATAGATAGATAGATAGATAGATAGATAGATATGAATAGAATGTAATAAATAGATAGATAGATAGATAGATAGATAGATATGAACAGAATGTAATAGATAGATAGATAGATAGATAGATAGATAGATATGAATAGAATGTAATAAATAGATAGATAGATAGATAGATATGAATAGAATGTAATAGATAGATAGATAGATAGATAGATAGATAGATAGATATGAACAGAATGAGATAGATAGTTATAAAATGTGTCATAATCCTATGAGTAATCTTCTTTAAAGATGATAAATTTGCATTAATTAGGGTGATTCAAAATTCTTTTTTCTTATCACACGTTACCTGTCTCCTATTGTATATGTTATATGTAATAGTTACTTAATATACATTCTGTATACTGATAATCTAAAAACGTGGGAGTAATCCAACAGTTATCCGCGCTGAAAATCGAATCAGCTAGTGTAGTTTAAATCCCAGTCGATTCTGTTGCATTCACTTTCGCAAAAATGTTCCTGTGTAAATCTATTTTCCCCCACCCAACTATGGGTTAAATAGCAGGCTAGACTGTGCTCTAGCTTAGAGTAGAACAATACCGAAGACAACGGGAAATTACTCCCTTATCTTTGCACTGAATACATGTCAGTTCCCAGATAAAAAAAAAATTTAGATGACCGGAACCTGGCAGTCCATCTCTCTTCTGACCTGATCCTAGTAACGCACTGGCGAAAGGACTGGCTTGCAACTTTTGGTACCTTCAAAACCAAACTAGTAACGCTTCACCATCAATAAACAGATCTTGACCTTTCACCTATCCTGATGAATGGTAGTTCTCTCACAGTGGTTCTTTGCCTTGAACACATATTAGAACTCAAGCTTACCTCTGACCTTAAGTGGGACTTTAGCGATGGATATATAAGGTCCATCAGATAGATAGATAGATAGATAGATAGATAGATATAAAATGTGCCATAGCTAGCTATTTATTGTGAGACCGGAAACTACCTACACAATAGACTCTTCCAGACCTATATTAAGTAGGCGACATAGCACTCTACAGAGACACACAGAGATAGACAGAGAGTGACAGAGAGAGACAGTGAGAGTCTAGTACGACTACCAGTGTTGGACACTAACATATAATAAGCTCCGCTTACACTATCTCTGTAACCTGTTGTTAATATATCTTTCTTACATCTAATCCGTGTTCCGTGTTTTAATTCTGGGGTCCAGTAACTTTGGCCCCGCATCACTATTAGATTCGAGAAAGTCGATGAATGGAAAGAAAAACGGCCTGCACGGAACGTTTGCACAAAACGGGCCCGATTCAGAATCAGGGAGTTGGCTAAAGATCCTTGCAACGCAAGAACAGACTCTACGGACAAATTCCATTACGCACTCTATTGATTAAACATGATTTACCCTTTTGTGGACTGTCTGGGAAATCTACTGAAAGTGTGCAAGACAATGTCAGTGACTACTTACAGCTAAACATAAAAGAGTACAGATGACATCATGATACGGTAGCTGTCAGAATACATTAAAATATGGCTTTTACAGAGATGTAATATGGACATTCACTACTGTCAGAAGCCGAGAATGATCAAATGGAGATCATATGGGATACGACTATCTTGACTGACAAGCGCTTGGAGAGCAATCAACCTGACGTAACACTTGTGCACAGGAGCACTTTTTTTCTTTTCTTTTTTTATAGTAAGGCTTACCTCGTACAATGCCCGAGGGTTAGCCGTTAAGGGGCAATTTGTATGGATAGGAGGGGAAGATAACAGTTAAGACTGTGATTAGGAAAACATTCTCTTGAGAGTCTGTTCCACAGAGCAGTGGTTCACGAGAAGAAGTTGTTTGAATGGAATATGGGGGGAATGTAGATGGTTTGATACTATGTGAGTGGCATGGCGAGTTCTAGACATGAAGGTTAGACTTGGCAGAACAAGGAATGCACTTCATCTGAGCACTTTCCATGGAAATAGCGGTAGAGGGCGAAAG